CCGTCGGTACCTACCGTCCCGGCCCTTCCACCGATGAGTACAATGGTGACATCCAAGTATGTATGCCATTATCGTAGACACCTGAACTTTTAAGCTGACTTAGCGTAGGGATTGACCTTCGTCACCTTTGACGAGACATCTTCGACCTTGAACGGCGCTACCTCCCGAATCTTTGTCGGAACTGCCGACAACACGACTGCTTCCGTCTATGTTTCCAATGATGCCGGCGCTACCTGGAGTGCCGTCACTGGCCAGCCGGGCCGCTACTTCCCTCACAAGGGTAGGATCCAGCCAACCGAGAAGGTCAGTCATCAACATCGGATCTGATATTTGACTTACTAATGCCATGAAAGGCTCTCTACATCAGCTACTCTGACGGCACTGGTCCTTACGACGGTACCTCTGGCTCTGTTTGGCGCTACGACATCACGGCCGGTACATGGAAGGACATCACTCCTGTCCCCGTGGGCTCTGACCTGTACTTTGGCTTTGGTGAGTACTCTCATCCGGCGCCGCCTGTTTGCGCGCTTTGTTCTCTCTCTTGTGCTGACATCTCGCCCAGGTGGATTGAGTGTCGACATGAAGAAGCCCGGCACTCTGATTGTTGCCACCCTCAACAGCTGGTGGCCGGACGCACAGCTCTTCAGGTCTACTGATTCCGGCACCACTTGGAAGAAGATCTGGGAGTGGGCAAACTACCCCGACATGACTCTCGGTTACACCCAGAGCACCCCGAAGGTAGATCCCTAGTTCTGAAAATTCGTGATCAGACACTCAGAAACCCCAAAGCCCTACAAGTCGCTGACATGGCTTAGGCCCCATGGATCAAGACCAACTTCCTGGATACCGATACCAAGGATCTCGGGTGGATGATCGAGTCACTGGAAATCGACCCCACGGACTCCAACCATTGGCTATACGGAACCGGACTCACAATCTTCGGAGGACACGATCTCACTAACTGGGACACTGGCGCCAAGGTCACCATTCAAGCCCTTGCAGACGGCATCGAAGAGATGGCCATCCAAGAGCTCGCGAGCGCTCCCGGCGGCTCCGAGCTTCTGGTCGCCGCCTACGACAACAACGGTTTTACCTTCAAGACCAAGAGCGTCCTCGACACATCCCCCCAAACAACCTGGGCGAACCCGATGTGGGCGTCGAGCGTTGGAGTCGACTACGCCGGCAACAAGGTCGCTAACGTCGTCCGCGTAGGAAACACTGCGGGTACCCAGCAGCTAGCGGTTAGCTCCGATGGCGGCGCGACCTGGAACATCAACTACGCCGCCGGCACGACCCAGTACGGCGGCTCGGTCGCCTACTCCGCCGACGCCGACACCATCATCTGGTCCACCGCCACCCTCGGTGTCCAGCGCTCCCAGAACCAAGGCTCGCTGACAACCATCTCCAGCATCCCCGCCGGGGCCATCATCGCCAGTGACAAGCGTAACAACACTGTCTTCTACGGCGCCTCCGGGTCCAGCTTCTACCGCTCCACCGACACCGGCGCCACCTTCTCCACCTCCGGCACCCTCTCCGGCGCCACAGACATCCGGCACGTCGAGGCCCACCCGGCCAAGGCCGGCGACGTCTGGGTCTCCACCAACGCCGGCATCTTCCACAGCACCGACTACGGCTCCACCTTCTCCCTCGTCTCAAGCACCCTCACCAACACGAACAAGGTCGCCCTCGGTAAGGGCTCCGGCAGCAACTGGAACCTCTACGCATTCGGCACCGGCCCCGCCGGCCGCCGCCTCTACGGCAGCGCGGACCTCGGCGCCTCCTGGGTCGACCTCCAGGGCACGCAGAGCTTCGGAGCCGTCGATGGCGCCAAGCTCGCCGGCTCCGCCAACGAGGAGAACCTCGTCTACGTCGGCACCAACGGCCGCGGCGTCTTCTACGCGTCCGGCGCGATCGCTTCCTCCGGTGGTGGGTCGACCTCTGCAGCTTCGACATCGACTAACAGGGCGACAAGCAGCAGCTCGACGGTCCGCGTGACCTCTTCGACATCTTCCGTGAGGACGACAACGACGTCGACCTTGGCGACTTCCACGAGGACTAGCTCCGCGCCCGCGGCTACGGCGACGAATGTGGCGAAGCAGTATGAGCAGTGCGGCGGGCAGGGGTGGACGGGCCCGACGCAGTGTGTGTCGCCGTATGTGTGCACGAAGGCGAACGATTGGTACTCGCAGTGTTTGTAAGAGGGCTCTAGGGGTGTTGTGTGTTGCTCTTGAGTCTTGATGAGGGCGTAATGAGACTGAACCGAGGACTCGAGATCGTTTGACTATGGAAGATGTGAAGTTCATCAGCTGAAACCGTACTTTTGTGCCTACCATACGTACTGATGAGAACCGGTTCGCCGAGTCATTCTTGACTTTTTTTTCGCAGACGCTTGAAGAAGCCCCTGTGTTGCCGCGTGTGCCCCTGATTGCAACCCTCCAACTCTTGATTTAGATCGGATCCCTCATGTCGTCAAAGAGAGAAGCTTTGATGGTCGTTTCTGGTGTTTTGTTCTCGACACGTCGCCGCTGTCCCAGTTTCCACGTGTGTCGAAAAGCACATGTTCCTGGGACGCGTTCAAATGACTTTCCGCCAGATCCGGACACTATCGGCGCTGGGCGAGGATGAGGAGCCTTATTATTGACCACCTCAAGTACCGGTATGAGTGGCATTGCGTTGCGGAGGGCATGTCTAGGTGACGTAGAGCATAAATAGAAGTTGGAATGATGGTGCATGATTGATTATGAAATCATATTGTTTTTATTTGCGACAACTGATACTTACGCTTGAGATGAACTGCACTAGGAGTTACCACTGCGTAGATTTAGAGTTAGGTGTATATATAGATCATTATTCAGGGGAAATGTGAAGTGCCCCAGTTATGGAGTAATCCGCGAGCGGCCTTACTTGGCGTCGTCCGAGTTGATTGGCCTTGAGTCGGGAGAAAGTATAAACCAAGCCACTGGGTCGATCATAATATGAGCACAAAAAGGACTGAAGATGCAGCTATCATTGCTGTCAAACGTTTGATCTTTATTGATATGTAAAGCCTCCATGTGGATCCTCCTTGGGAACCGGAGCATTCCTAAAAAGTCTCCGTTCTCATTGCAGTAGTAATATGATAATATCGCCCATCGCCGGTGCGACCGGTATGCTCAGTACACTCCTCTGTAAGGGAGATGGTGTCGTTGTCGACCGAAATTACGGACATGGCAGTGGTCTCAAGTGAGAGTTGAATGAAACTGAACTGCCGGCGCGCTGCGTCCACTCTGCTTCGATATCCAGGCCTCCCGTCTGTTGCGAATGCGAGCAGGTCAGGGGCTAACTGTATCAAAACCTAAAAAGCAGAAGCTTCGGTAACGCCGAACGTGTAGTCACTATCCCCCGTTCTGCACAGCCCTGCCTTAACGTCTGAAACGTTAATTATATTATCGCACGTCAGTAGACCTCTGTAACGGCGCTGCGCAATAAGGCTGAGATGTATTATGAGAACTCTAAAGTCTAGTTGGTGTTCTCTTGTTGGGTGAAGAATGATTTGTATTAAAGCCAACAACCCGTCGCTTTTCTTGCACCATTCCTTTTGCCCCTCATCCCGCATCAGTCATTCACTCAGCGTTTCTTCAAATCAACTCAACTTTCTTTCAACACCAACTACTCTCTTTTTTCTTCAAAATGCGTTTCGCTGCTGCATTCGGACTCTTTTCCCTGGCTGCCGCCCTGCCGGCCACCCCCGAGGGTAACGGCGCCGCCGCCATCGAGGCGAGAGCGACCCCGATGGCCGGAAGCAGCATCTACTCCTGGCCCGCGACCGCCACGCCCATGGACATCGAGTTCTACACGGGCGCCAAGCTCACCATCAAGTCGCTGGACTTGACAAACGTCCAGGTCGACTGCAGCAACAGGGCCGACCAGAACGCCGAGTTCATCATCACGGACAACGAGAGCAAGGAGGTGATCTACTCGTACAAGGTCAAGGTCGGCGAGAACTGCAACTCTGTTTCCTTCCCCAAGGGCGAGAACGCGATTATGATCACTACGAAGATGGGATACTTCTAGACGATCGGTGGTTCGGGGAGAGGAGCTGAAGACCGAAGGTTGTTCAGCTCGGGAAGATATGAGGTTCAATAGATGAAGTGTTCTTGCATTTCTACATATCAATTTGAAGCGATCTGCCTGCGCATTTAAGCCTCTCTCCCTGGCGTGAATCAGCCTATGGTTTGCCGTCTGAACAATTTGTTGACACTTTCATCTCGAAATAATCCCTCCATGAGTATCGAAAACTGTGATCAAGTCTTAAAAAGAATGTTCTTCTATTGTAGTTGCAGTGTGCTATGGAAACAGATGGGACGGTTTAAGTGGATGTATGTCATCTCTGTAACTCGGCAATTTAGTATTCTTATCACCGCTGACCCTTGGGGGACATGTTCACCAAGTGAGAATACTTGTCCTTGTCCAGTGTTATCACACTCGTCATATGGAATAGTTCCGTTCTATCATAGAAGGTTCAGCTATATATCCAGTATTCGTCAATTAAATACAATTTTGAGCAGGAGAGCTAATGGTTTTGGATGGCCTTCCTCGCCACAAGTCATTATCTTAACTGCCTTACAACTAGAGTAGTGCTGACCTTCATCCTTCGGCTGGTACCACCTTGGGTGGCTATGACTTCAGCCGTTCATGCGCCTGCAAACCCCTCACACCATTGCGGACGAATCCCCCAATTCTTAAGAGAAAGTTTATCAGGACTACCGCCCAGCCAATGCAGATCAACTGACCCAAACTAAGACTCACTGGTATTTAGGGTCGTCGGCCTCCAGCAGCAGTTCTTTTCAGCTGCAAGAATGCACATCTAACCCAACCGCTCAATGCATCGATAAGTAAACGCAAGACTCCCAACAGCAAAGAATGTCAAACATGATATAATGAAACTTCCAGCTCTTAATCGCGCAGTCAACGCGCTTTTATCATCTTCAACACTCAAGAATTTACAAGCAGGTTACACCATGCTTCCAAAATTCGACATCGAAGAGAGCGCGCGTCCAGCATCTCCTATTGCACACGATCACGATGGACGCGGGACAGCTTCAGACGAGCCCTCCCTGAGGAGCCTTAATCGCGCTACCTACGCTGGTGCCCTGCTGTTCAATATCGTCTCCTTCATACTTCCAGCTCTCTACGCCACCCTGTCCAAACTATGGGTCGCCAACATCGACTCCTCGCTCGTAGTCACCACAGACGCATACACGTACATCGGCGTCGTTGCCGAGGTTCTCAACGAAGGGCTGCCGCGGGCAGCATGGGTTATAATCGGTGATAAAGCGTCTCGAACCCTCGCACAGCGGTTGCAGCTCACGCACACACTCATCATCTTCCAGGCTGTCCTGGGCTTCATTATGAGCGTCGCCTTCGTGGCCGGCGCAAGCACTTTTGCGAAGGGCTTTGTACCTGTCGAAGTCCGCGGCGTTAGCATCACCTATGTGCGCATCGGAGCTTTCAGCGCCTTCAGCAGCGCGATCGAGACTGCAGTTTCCTCAGCCACGAGAGCGCTCGACCGACCTGATGTGCCACTCATAATAAGCTCAGTCAAATTCGCGGTCAACATTGTCTTAGATCTTTTAATTATCTCCAAATATCATGTCGGATCCCATAACCCTACGGTGAACATGCAAGCTGGCATTCAGTTAGCGTGTAACCTCGCGTCAGCTCTGATCGGCCTGGCCTATTTTCTCTGGAGGAACACCATGCGCTTACGCAGAAATAGGACACAAGAGCTACCTGAATTGGAGACCACTCGACCAAGCCTCAAGGCACTTATTATCCTCTTGCGTCCTAGTGTCCTGACTTTCATTGAATCAGCAATTAGAAACGCGTTATACCTCTGGCTTGTCAGCAACATTGTATCAATGGGAAGCACATACGCGACGGCCTGGGGCGTCTTCAACACCATCAGATGGGGTCTCATTATGGTACCGGTCCAAGCACTTGAGCAAACCTCTCTGGCCTTTGTCGGCCATGCATGGGGATCTTGGAGACGAGCCATAGGTATCGAAAACCTCGAACCAAAGGCAAAGAAGACGAATGTTTTCGCCATCGCCCGTCCAGCTCTTCTCTCTCTTATTATTGCAGTCATAACCGAGGTCTCAATGTGCCTCTTCCTGACATATTTCGGAGCCCGCCCCTTCGCCAGATACCTCAGCGGCTCAGACGAGGTTGCGGACGTGACGGCGATGATGTGGCGGACGATCGACTGGTGCTACATCTTCTATGCTATGTCTACGATGTTGGCAACGATCCTGCTTGCAACGCGTCCTCAGTGGTACTTCTGGCAGAGTCTGGCCAGCAACTTCCTCTATGTTTTACCCTGGGCGATTGTGTGTCAGACAGCGAGCCTCTCGGCTGACCGGGCTTGGACTTACCATAGTCTTGTTTTTGGTGGAAGTCTTGTGTTCAGCTTCGTTGACATTCTAATTGTGGATGCGCTTTGGGTTTGGACTTTGACGACAGGGAGGATGAAGCTTGACAAGTTCAGGGGATGAACTGTGAGTTCACTCTCGCTAGAGCCTTCGGTCGAAGCTTGTACGTGTTTCGTTTCAATTTACAAGCTTATTGCAATCTTTGAGACTGATCATTCGTACGCGCTAATTGACGTCTAGTCTGCCGACATAATCATCCGCATCGTGTTCGTGGCTATTGCGAGCGCTTCGCAAACCTCGCTATTTAGTATGGACCACCGGATGATCGGCCAGGAAAACGTTCTAGCCTTACTTAGACAGATTGAAAGGACCTCCCTATGGGGCCACCTCCTTAAACCCAGGCAACGACGCGTGGGATGTTTCTGATGTTGGCGTTGTTGTTGGTGATATCTTTGAAGGGTGCATAATTTTAACTGAAATTCAAACGGTTAAGTCGGAAGACGTCGAATGACATGTACGATGTGGAATTAAAATGAAGAGGAGGTACTAATCATTTAAAAGAGCTTCATTGCCCTAGACTCTAGACATCTTTCTTGGCAGCAGCACATCCAGCTGGTAGAAACCTGATTTCGTTCATTCTTTCGGCCTGCGCTTTCATTCATTCGTTCATCTGGTCTTTCGCCGTTACACTGCTGCATTCGTCCTGTCACCATCCTAAGCGAGATTCACACCCGCTGAAAACCACCTTCATTATGATTGCTGGGCAAATCTCCCACTTCGCCATTGCCCTTCTGGCAACTCTCTCCGCTGTTGCGGAGGGCAAGGAGGCCAAGGCCTGCAAGGCACATAGCGTCAAGACTCACCATCACCATACCAAGCACGCCCATAACTCGACCGCTTTTGGTTTCAGCTTGCCTCCCATGACTTCCACTGTTCTTCCCACAACGACCCTGGCCACTCTCGTACAGCCCACCATCCAATCTTCTCAGGTTAAGGATGCCGAGGCCAAGACTTCTCCGGGCAACCCTATCATCGCGCAAGAAGCGAAGTCCGGAGCTGTTTCTACCACCGCTTCTACTGCGGCGGCTGCTGTTCAGACAGCTTCGTCTGAGACTTTTATCGGCCTGGGCACTCGCTATGGCCTGTCTGACGGCTGCACCGAGGAAAACTGCTGGCAGAATGGCGCCTGCTCTTTCGTGGACTACGAGCTGCCCGCCGGCCTCGATGGATCAACCTGCGTGTCGGATGCCATCTTCGGCAACGGCGAGAACTGCGGCGGCTGCATCTCTGTGACTTACAAGGGCAAGACCCTTAAGATCATGGTAAGTGCAATCGAAACGAAACACTCCCCCACGCGAAATTTCCACTTATTGACTGACACGATAAGGTTACCAACCGAACCGGCGGTAACGCGACCCACCTGGACATGACCCCCGACACTTGGTCCAAGTTGACCAACGGATACTCTGGCGGTGGTGTTGACGGCATCGAGTGGGAGTGGATCGCCTGCCCTCTCCCTGAGTCTTCTCCCCTCCAGGTTCACATGCACAAGGGCGCCTCTCAGTACTGGTTCGCGGCCACGATCGAGAACGCTACCCTCCGAACCAAGAAGGTCGAGGTCAGCAGCGACGGGGGCGCGACTTGGAAGACTGCTACTCTTCACGACCCTAACATGTGGGAGCTGACTGGAACACTCCTCACCACGACGGCCTGGGTCCGTGTCACTAGCATCAACGGCGATGAGGTTATCGTCAAGGATGTGGCTCTTGCGTCTGGAAAGGTTACCAAGGCCACCGAGAACTACTAAAGATGGTCGCGCGGCGTGGCTGTCACGTGTGTGAGTGGGTTTGATACTCTGGGGGTTCTTACAGTTCCTTTCGTGGCCATAGGATGGCTGTTTGCCTTTCATTTTCTTGTATACTGTTAAAGAATCACCGAGAATATTTCAGATTTGAGCAATGATATTCAAGCTTTTGCCAAGAGAGGGTCGGCCTCTCGTTCCCTTGGCGAAAGCACATGTTGGTTGATACAAGGCGGTGCCGCTGATCAAAGGGTAAGCTACATCAAATCCTAGGTATCTTCTTGAGATTTGATACAAGATAGTGTCTGATCTCCATGTTGAATGTCTGACTTTTTAATGTTTGAGGTTCTTATTGCACACCATAGCCTGCATCAATTGAGACGATGGTGTTGTTGGCTATCGCTGAGAAGAGCCAGCCGACAGCCGGCCGGGCCTAGATTCTCATCGCAACACTGCCGCAGGGGGCACATGACGTTGGAAGTTAGCGGGGAGACCCCCGGACTGACCCCGCTGCCGGGATGGAGCACGCTAAAATAGGCAACATTTGGCGGTCCCTATCCTCCTCGTTCGATTTCTCCTGTTTCAACAATCTCCAACTCACCTTATCGCAAACGATTTTCAAGTTGACCGCCGACCAGACCCGGGCTGCGACCTGACGCGAAAGACATCTCGTGTTGCTATGTCTGAACGTGTCATACGCAGACGTAATGTTACTTCAAGAGACCGCACCGGCTGTGTTACCTGTCGCGCCCGCAGGTTGAAGTGCGACGAGAAGAAGCCGAGCTGTAATAATGTACGCTCTCCACTTGTCGCGGCAATACTAGCCCGTTTACTGACAGGCCATTTGCATGTAGTGCACACGTCTGAATCTTGAGTGCGGTGGCTACGTTACTCCGATTAAGTTCAAGGACCAAACAGATCTGTGGGAGCGAAAGCAGAGGAAGAAACGCGAAGCCAAGAAGGCCGCGAGTGCGAATCGCCAGAGCCCCCCATCACCTGCGCCGTCGCGAAGTGACCCGCCACCAGCACCAGCACCACAATCATCACAAACCGTCATCAATCTTGACGATGTTCATGATGATACATTCTTCTCTGTTGACGACACGCAAGACTTTCTCGCAGGCTCACAGGAGCAATCGCTCTACGAAGCAGCAACATCGTTGGCACTGATCTCGGAGGGAATCCCGCGTGAGACCGGTGGTCACGATGGTGCAGAGGTCAGCGACAGCTCACTGCCCCATTATGTTGTCAACTCTGTGACTACAGCATCAGTCAACGTCGACTCTTCATCAATACATGCTGCTGGCAATGAGATATCACCAGTGTTTCATGGAAATGAGCACCTTCCAAGTTGCACTCCGATATATCAGCCCCAGGACTCTCCCAGAGTCTGGGACCCGCATCTCGACGAGTCAAATCGGCAGCTGACTTCAGTGCCGACGATATTACCTGGAATTATTGAGAGCAGCAAGTTTTCAGAAGACATGATCTACTACCACCACCTCAGAGACAGCTCACCTTATGGCATCTTGTCAATCCTGTCCCTCAGCGATATTCTACAGGAGGATCAACTCGACAGCGCCTTCTTCCATGCTGCGCTGGCTTTGTCGGCCCTCGACATTTCTCAGTCCAGACCTTCAGAGACTCTTGCCAGCAAAGCTGCGTTGCAAGCACTGGATCACTTCGTTGCTGCCCTCGGCACCGTGCGCATGGCGCAGCTGGATGACGAAGGCGTCGCCACAGGATGTCCATCGAACCAAGATAACGCCATATCATGGCTAGCTACTGTCTTGTTACTTGCAAACTTCGAGTTACAACGGGGGCAGATGAAGCTCTGGTACATTCACAGCAGAGCCGCAGTCACATTCCTTTCGCAACAGCTCAACCGCGTACGAGAATCACCCGTGGGGGAGTCTCTCATCCGGTCCTTCTCCCGCATCGCCGCTCTCCTAGATATTTTCGACCGAGCCTACTCCGTCAGATACAGCATTGCATCACCAGACGTCACAGACTCACTGACCTCGTCGCTTGTCAATTCGCCCCAGTCAGCAGACAGGTTGTTGTACATCTTGCCCCGAGTGATCAAACTTGAGGAAGAATGGAGGAGTAACCCACAGCATGACCTACACTGGCGTGGCCAAGCAGAAGATCTAATCCAAGAATTGAAGGCGTGGAGGAACACATTGGACGATTATGATGTGCCAGCCTTGCACGAACACACAGCAAATCCTTTCGATGAGACCGCCGAAGGCCCTGGCATTGCGATTAAGCCTCTCAGTATACCTCGCGCGCGAGAGCCCGTCAAAGCAGCGACGACCTTCATGCACTACTTGATCTCTCTACTACGGCTAGAGACACGATACCTCCCGGGTGCAGGACGAGAACTGCCGCCCAACGCGAAGAAGATCATCCTTCTCGTATGCAGGTTAGCAGCCGGTGTCCCTTACGCATCCTGCGCCGCGGTCAACGCGTACGGGCATGGCATGCTTCCGGCAATGATGAATGCGTATTACATGGCAGAAGACTTAGACCTAAAGACATGGATCAAGGACTGGATCGCCGGGTTTCCGAGGGATCGAGAGGGCATCTGGAATGTCCGCCACGCCCACCGAGTGCTGCGCTACGTGGACGAGGAGTACACTCGCCGCGGCTCACGACATAATTGGGAAATCATCAAAGTGCGCATGGTTGACCTAGAAGATGACGCCACTCCTGAAGACGATGAGGAAAGGGACCCCGATCGGTTCTCGGTCGAGGTGTATTCGAGGTGTAAGCGGGGGTGGAGCATCGACTTTGTAGAAATACCATAAGAGGCAATTTTGACGCACTTTGGCAGAGTGGGTTTGCTGATAGCTTGCGATAGCGTAATGAGATGGAGAGATGGGTCAACTTCGCTCGGTAACCCCGTCGATGACCGATTTTTCTGCAAAATTCGACACCGAAAGGACCCGGCGCTGGCCGAGGCAGACTCCACTATTTCCACTTGTCGCGCTACGTCCGGTGACGGCCCATTCGTTGTGGATTTTGTTAGCGCCCTCGTTCTCCTTTGCCCGTTTGGGTAAATTCATCCCGGTGGGCAGCCCACGATGGCCTCGGGATCATGCCAATCACGAAATTTTGAACGCTTGCGCTTGCAATTGCGAATGTTCCGCCTCTGAAATGGGCTTTCTCCTTTCGGACTTACTTCCGAGGCGATTAATCTTTCGCATATCGTGTTGCTGAAGCTTGCTTTATCATCATCGCCAGCACATCTTTAACATCACCTATGCCCACCGTCACATCGAGTTCTGTCGGTCAATCTTCTAACATTGTGGCATCACCATCACTATGAGCCCCAGCGCGACAACTACAGCTCCCGGCGCAGCCGCGCCAGCAGCGAACGAAGTTATTCAGAAACAACAATGGGGAGAACTCGACGCCTCAGCAATGGTGAAGACTCTCGTCCCCGAGACGGATCAGCGTCCCGTCCCCGCCGTCGATGACCCCGTTCGTATCGGTCAGAACTGCACAGCAGCGCATATGGTTCAAGTGCCTTGGTCGATGGAGACAGGTTGGGGGACAACAGTCATGAGCCCGTATGGCAAGATCGCGCTAGAGCCTACGGCCAGCGTTTTGCACTACGCGACAGAGTCTTTCGTAAGTTAAACTTGTGACTGAACTTGCGGCATGCTTTTAGAAGACTTCAAATTCTAACAATTGAGGGTACAGGAGGGCATGAAAGCCTACCGCGGCTACGACAACAAACTCCGCCTCTTCCGACCCCAACTTAACTGCGCCCGCATGGTCAAGTCCAACGCACGCGTCGGTCTCCCCTCCTTCGATCCCCAGGGTCTCCTCGATATCATCACCGCGTACATCTCCATCGAATGCCGCCGCTGGCTCCCCGACCAGGGTTCAAATATCTACCTCCGCCCCGCCATGATCGGCAGCGGTTCCGCGCTTGGCATTAACCAGCCGCCCGAAGCCCTGTTCTTCCTCTTTGCAGTTCTGTTCCCACAGGCATCGGGTCTGCCGCACCCAGGCATCAAGCTTCTAGCGAGCAGCCCGGAGCATATCCGCGCGTGGCCCGGTGGCTTCGGATCTGCGAAGGTGGGCGCGAGCTACGGACCGTCGATGGTGTTGCACGCTGCCGCGAAGGCTAAGGGCTGCTCGCAGACTTTGTGGCTTTTTGGGGAGGACAGGTTGGTCACGGAGGCTGGTGCGAGCAACTTCTTCGTCGTTTGGAAGAAGAAGGATGGCCAGGGCGTCGAACTTGTGACCAGCTCACTTGACACGGGAGTCATTCTGGACGGTATCACGAGAAGGAGTGCGCTGGAGATTGCGAGAGAGCGCTTGACGCAGGAGGCTTCAGGGAAACACACGAGCTTGGATCCCTTGGAGGTCGTCGAGAGGCCATTCAGCATGGACGAGATTATTGAGGCACATGCCGAGGGAAGACTTGTTGAAGCTTTCGTCACCGGTACCGCGGTAAGTTCTCCCTTGGTCTATTGGTGGTACGCATTGGTGTCATGAATACTTTGCTGACTGGTCTTGATTTAGATGTTCGTTACCCCAGTGTCACTGATTCACTACAATGACCGGGATATTAACCTCCCGATGACTGTTACTGATGATGGTCATAAAATTCCTCATGCGAAATACTCGTCGGCTATCAAGGCTTGGCTGGAGGACATTATCTACGGACGGGTTGATCATGATTGGGGATATGTCGTTGAGGAACAGTAGTCGACTGGAACTTGGACGAGAGCACTATATACTACATTGATGAGCTTTTATATCCAGCCTAGAAACGTGCTGGATGATATTTGGATGTAAGATAAACAGAGTAATGATACACCCAATGTTTTCAAGCGGTGAACTCATTTGTATGGATTGCTTCTATAAGGTAAGTACGCGAGCTCAATTGCGACCGAACGCGGGCATGAATTGGGAAGTTATAGGAAATGAGAATACGTGTTCCTCAATGCCGCATACAGGTAGAACTGAGCATTCGTCAAAATGTATCAAATTCTACTTACTTTCACATTCTTTTGGGATAACACCTCGAACCTCCGTCAATGGGGGAATTCTCCTAATTTAATCTGAAATTCTAATATGACGCCAAACATGAACACCTTCTTTAAAACTCTTTCTAATTCCGTCATGACGTTATGGTAGTCGAGAAGAAGTCGTCTACCCTTTTCATGGCAATCAACGCATGATTCTAAGGGTTTACACTCATGTTAGCTGTGGACTGAGCAGTCAGGAGTGAAATATACCAACCTTCATAGAATCGTGTGTCAATCCTCCCAGGTGAGGTAGCAAAGTGACGCAATCATACTTGAGCAGCCTTGAACTGACTTTGGGCCTTTTCGTCCCGAACATCAGCACTGGGCATATGTAAAAACAAGAGAAGGCGCTTACTCGTTGTAATGAACGTCAAGTCCAACGCTGGATATAACCCCGCTGTCGATGGCGTCACACATAGCATCCTCATCGATACACTTTCCTCTTGCCACATTCACAATTCTCATACCCTTCTTCATATCTGAAAAGACTTCTCGTGAAAGCAGGTGATGGGTTGCCGCCGAGTAAGAGCATGTCAAGACGAGGCAGTCAACGACGGCAACCAGCTCTTGTAGATCCTTGTGAAGGGTCACGGACGGAATGAGACCCCTTATGTATCCATCTTCGTGTTGAACAGTCTCAAGAAGCTTCCTCAAATTGGGCCTGTCAATGCAGTGAATCTCCATACCTAATACTGCAGCCTGGCGCGCAACAGTCTGTCCGATTGAGCCCATGCCGATGATGCCCAGCTTTCTGCCGTAAGGATCTACGGCTGTCTGGGCAGAGTGTCTCAGTGCTGGAAGAAACTCGTCGTTCCGAAGCATGCGCTCGTATCGGTTGAGCTGACGAAAGACGGAGATGATGAGGTAGGTTGCGACGACAGCAGTTGCTTCGCTACCGCCTGTTGTGTTGCAGAATTCGATGCCTCGAGCATTGAGCCCTGGAACGTCTTCTTCCTCAAATCCATGACCAAAGTTGACAATCAACTTCAGCGATTTGGGGAAGTATTGCAGTGCGCGTCTGGTCCAGCCGTTGCCAACTTTTTCGATCCCGGCGGGGACGTTGAGACCGATTCTCATGATCCCCGAAATGTCGTGACAAGTGCCACCTTTCAGAGACTCATGAAAGTCTTTCGTAGTTGAAAATTCATATTGGTGAACAATGTATCGTGTACAGAACTCTTCCCAAACAGTGTCAGGAACGACCCCTTCGGGCGAGCCAATGACGAGAACCTTCGGGTGTGATGCCATGGGAAGGAATTTGGAGATAAAGCAAAGTGATGAATTTGGTGAAATTAGGCAAAAAAAGCCTGATTGAATTGGAGACATGCAGTCATTCAATTAAGTTACCAACAAGTTCTCTTCGCATTTAATGCCTTGCTTCCTGTGAAGCGCTTAGCAGCTGCCTCTTCGTAAAAGACTGCCTATTCGGGTAGATCTTTTTCAGTGGGGTCCGATCTGATAAGAGAAATGCACCCCTGCGAAAGATCTTATCCGATCTCGCTTAGCGTGGGGTCGCATGAGATGAGCAGCCTGGAATCCGTCATCAACCCCTCCTTTCGCGTCAAAATTGGCGTCGTGACTGATCGCGGTCGAGGAGATTTTCGAAGTTGCTCTCACACCAACATCAGCTGAATAGCTCATCGACTTGCCGCAGAGACCGACGTTGACTATGGCTGCAAGGGCTGACGCTGCAGGCGATGGCCTTACTGGCTTCTACGCGAAGTGGGTTTCCCCCTGAGAACTTTAAGGTGATCTTGAAGTCGCAGAACTAACAGACATTAGGGTTGACGAGTTAGAGACTTCTTTCATTGAAAGTAAGTGATTTTGGTTGTGTAACAGTTCCAACAGTTCGAAGTTCACAACAACTCACCGACGATGAAAAGGACTGGAAGAAGCAGTCAAGATCCCTTCGGTATCTGCTTATGCGGAACGAAGAGAAGATGTTTTCAGAGTGAGTTGTATATTTGTCTCTCAAGCTGAATTAAATTGACAAGACTTTTAGATGAGCGAATGGATTGCCTCAAAGATGAGAGATCTAGGAGTGGAGGTCACACTGAAACCTTTAGGGAAACAGCAAGACAAACCGGACCTCGAGTTGCCCCCTCTAGTCTTGGGTCGATACGGTAGTGATTCCGAGAAGCCGACCGTTCTCGTCTACTCCCACTACGATGTTCAGCCTGCTGCTCTTGAAGATGGTTGGAAATATGACCCCTGGGTTCTTACGATTGAAGAGAATGGTCGGTTATGTGGCCGAGGAACTTCCGATGACAAGGGCCCGCTGATAGGATGGCTCAACATGATTGAGTCCTTTCAAAAGGCGGGAGTTGAAGTTCCGGCGAACCTTATCTTCTGTTTCGAGGGTATGGAGGAGAACGGGTCCTTTGGTCTGCGCAAAGCCTTGGAGGAAGAAGCGCAAAACTTCTTCAAAGACATTGATGTGGTCTGCATCACTGATGTCGTTTGGGTCAGCGATGAGCAGCTGAGCATCCCCCAGGGCTTGAGAGGAATCATCTTCTACCTGTTGACCATCACCGGCGCCGAGAGAGACGCTCATAGTGGTGGCTTTGGTGGGCAGATCTCGGAGCCGATGACCGACATGGTCAACATCATGTCCTCACTCGTGGATTCGAACGGCAAGATTCTTGTGCCGGGTATCTACGACACAGTGCAAGCCGTGACGAAAGAAGAGTATGACAGCTACAACAAGCTAAACATCTCAGACGATTCCTTGCTCGGGGGAACGGGCGCCAGAAGCCTTCACAAGACTCAGGCAGACGCTTTGATTGCGAGGTACTTATTATCCGCTGGGCCTAACTTTTGACGTGAAATTAACAAGCGCCTAGATGGAAGAAGCCATCCCTCAGTCTTCACAGGATCGAAAACGCGACGCCTGGTGCAGGAGCTGTGACTTCGATTCCTGCGAAGCTTGTTGGCAAGTTTAGCATCAGGACAGTCCCCAACATGAAGTCACAGGATATCGACAAGCTTGTCCAGAAGCATATTCGAGAGAAGTTTGAGAGTCTCGGAAGCAAGAACGAGTTGGATATCAACTGTGCCGACCAAAGTGACTGGTTCTACGAGAGCGCCGACCACTGGAACTACCAAGCCGCAATCCAGGCCACCCAGAACGTTTGGGGTGTCGATCCAGTCCTCACATGCGAAGGCGGAAGGTAAGGAGACATCATGCAACGTCGTTTGCCGCAAGCTAATTCCGGACCAGCATTCCCATTGCATTGGACTTCAAGCAGATCCTTCAGAAGAACGTGCTTTTGCTTCCCGTTGGACGACCCACTGACGGAGCTCATACCATCAACGGTGCGTTTTGTCATTCTTCCACAGTCCGATATTTGCTAATCACTTTCGGTGGACTGCAGAGAAGCTGGACAAGAATAACTAGTGAGTACTGTCGATATGCACCGTCCGTTTCGCCCCACTAACGACCCCGACAGTATCAACGCTATCAAGTTGTATGGATCGTATCTTCAAGAGGCGCAGAAATTGTGGCGTCAGAGCAAGGCAACCGCATAACTCACCAGACTGTATTCCCAAATCGTGCTTTAAGTGGGCACCTCAGGACAATCAGAACATGGATCCGGCTACATCGCAGAAATCGAGAATACCCATTCCAAAAAGAACCTCCACTCTCGTGTCGTCGTGACTCGTGACCAAATCGAAATACGCTCTTTCAGCCACCAATCAGTCTCAATCACCGAGCGATACCTGGTTTCTGAGTGCGCTAAAGCAAGGATCGTGGCGGATGGCAGAATTGCCCAAATAGGAAATTCTGAACGACAAAATGAGGGGCATCAATCGTGCGGGGCACATCGTTGAGATACGAGACAGCTCGTAAAGCGTCCCAGAGAAGAGTCCAAACATTCCCATATGTAGGCACATTTCCTCGACATTGTTTTCTACTGAAATGAAAATCGTTTTTGAATCTGCGATTCCACCTCAGAACCACTAGTCTTCACTTGATTCTACTTCCCTTCGTCGCGAGAGTCAGTCGGCCAGAAACGGCGCCATGTGTCAACATCAGTCATCAGCGGTTGTAGACGTGAACACCAACTCCAACTTCAAGCAGGTCGTCACAAAACATACCAAAATTTATGTGACAATCGACTTCGAGCGAACTGTGCTCATCGGGTCAACAATCATTACTTTCGAATCAAGACTAGCGAGTCTGACTGAAATCATCCTTGATACCAGCTACTTAATCGTGAGACAAGCTGCTATCAATGGCACCCGAGTTTCTTGGGACTTGAAAGCCCCTGAAAACGCCAACGGCAGCCCCCTTCATATCTACCTCGATCGCGCCTACGAATATGGAGAGTCTTTCGAACTTGCCGTAAGCTCTGGCTCACGAAGTAGCGTGGAAATCTGATGCTGAGTACACCATCGTAGATTGACTTCGAAACAACAACGGAAACAACTGGTCTTCAGTGGTTTAAGGCTTCGCAAACAGATGATAAGAAATATCCATTCATGTGTAAGTCCCCAAAACAGACGATTGGCTATTGTTATCAGCTCATACAGCGCTAACTTGGTGAAGTTTCGCAGGGAGAGCCAGTCCACGCACGCTCCATGTTCCCATGCCAGGACACTCCATCTATCAAGACAACTTTCGACATGACTATTCGGTCCATCTTACCAGTTGTCGCGAGTGGTATTCCTGAAAATGACCTAGTCTTCCCTCCCGTCCAGGAGCCCCTAGAGCTCAAGACCTACAAGTTCAAACAGGAGATTCCAATCTCCAATTATCTGTTCGCGGTGGCTAGCGGGTATGTGTGTTACTCCGACCGACTATGGAATACAGCTGATGAGCATCTCTTAGGAATCTTGCGGGAGAGAAGATTGGTCCTAAGAGCTATGTTTACTGTGCGCCTGGCGATCTCGAGGCCTGCAAGGCAGAGTTCAAACCCGATTTGCAAGCCATTATTAAATCTGCGGAGGTAAGGTAGCTGGCTTATCGACGACCTCGCTGCGATGACTGATTTTGTTTATTTTTGACTGCAGAACCTCATCTTCGAGTATCCATGGCCGCTTTACAATCTCGTTGTCCTGCCAAAGTCGTTTCACTTAGGAGGCATGGAAAACCCAGTCTTCAACTTCTACAGCGCTACTGTTGTCTCGGGCGACCGTGAGAACATTGGAGTCGTGACCCACGAGTTCGCTCACAGCTACAGCGGAAACCTTGTCACTAATGACGCTTGGGAGCACTTCTGGTTGAACGAAGGATGGACGGTCTACATAGAGCGTTGCATCCTGCGAGACCTCCGCGGGGAAGAGGCAGTCCAGCTTGAAGCCATCGTAGGATGGCAAGATCTGCTCTACAACATTGATGCTTATGGCGGGAACGAAAGCGTCTTCACAAGTCTCGTTCTAGAATTTCAAGGAAAGAGGCCTGACGACATCATGTCGAAGATCTCCTACGAGAAAGGCTACACCTTTTTGTGTTTTCTGGAGCAGCAGGTGGGGAGGGAGAAGTGGCACAAATTTGTTCCTCACGTAAGCGATTGTTGGTTCCGCCATTGTCCAAGATACTAATGATGACTTTAGTACTTCAAGGCTTTCTTTGGCAAGAGCGTCAACTCTGAGCAATTCAAGAGGTGCGTTCTGGAGTTCTTCTCTCAGGACGTCCACGCCGCAGCTGCCCTTCACGCAGTTGACTGGGAAACCTGGTATCACAAGCCCGGTGCACCGCCAAAGCCTATCTTTGACTCCAGCCTCTACAGAGATTGCATTGAATTATGCGACAAGTGGAAGATGCTTAGTTCGAACGAAAGCGCCTTTACCCCCTCGTCTAAGGATGTTGAGGGCTGGACGGTTGGACAATTATTAGTCTTTCTCGACCTTCTGACTGAAAGTTCCAGTGCTATCCCCAAACAGTTCAGCCACGCACTGGGTTCACAGTATGGTTTACTATCCTCAGGGAATCTGGAGGTAGTTAGCCGCTACCTCCGTGTTGCACTGCGAGCAGGCGACGAAAGTGTCTTGAAGCAGACCGAAGAGGTTCTTAGCCAGACCGGCCGTATGAAATTCGTCAAGCCACTGTAAGCTTTCTCATTGCAGTGAAGTTTCTCCCGTGATAGCTGATGTGATGTACCAGGTTTGAGGGGTTGTTGTCGGTCAGCGAAAAGTTGGCTGTGGAGTTGTTTAACAGACATCGCGACTTTTATCACCCGACATGTTTGAGGTTGCTGAGAAACGTGCTTGAGAAGCATGGACTAACTGTTGGTTGAAGCGGATGTTCGAAAAGTCCCTCAGGTTTCGTCTTCATACATGTATTTTGGCCATAGGGGTCTCTCCAGCTCAGGCTTTCCTGGCCTCTCACACATTTTCCCGCCAGAATCAAACAGCAGTCAAAAAAGTGCGCCCGCAGACGATAACCTGCCGTATGAAAGTATGGAAAAAAGGTTGAAAGCGAAGAAGATTGGGTTGGGCTTGTGGAGACATAATCGACATCTCTATGGCTACTGGCTGCATGTAGATTTGAGTCACAACTAGAAAAGCCACTTGAGATACCGAGGTAGACTTCATCTTACGATGCTATGTGTTTTGAGTTTTATTCGGTCATACACAAACGTTTTCTAGGGTGTCTATCACTTGTGAAAGAGTAAAGTGATCCTTTCAATACAACACGACTAGTATCCGACTTATCGTAAGTGAAAAGGATATAGTTTCCGAGCCCCTGGTGGTGGGAAACGCCACTCGGCTTTATGCACTGTAGCAGGTGTAAGCCCGATTCTCGCTTACTTCCCCGGGCCCAACTCCGAAGCAGCGCAAGTGGAAGCCGGCTCGCGACCCGGAGTTAATGGCTGTAGAGTACTAAGTCAGCCGTCGCGGTAGTTAAAAGCGAAATATCCATTATTATTTATTTCCCTTGCAGAATGAACGAATCTCTTGGCATCGGCATAACACTACAACCATATTCCCCAAGATAAATCCTATCCCTGCAGTATGTCGTTTCCTTATAAGCAAGTTCTCCTGGTGGGTGCCACTTCCGGTATTGGCGCGGCCATGGCGGACAAGCTTGTTCAGGAGGGCATCAAAGTGATTGCAGTCGGTCGTCGCCAAGAAAGACTCGATGCGTTTGTCCAGAAGCATGGGCCATCCAGGGCAGACTCGATCTGCTTCGATATAACAGACCGAGCCGGGTTGGATAACTTCGTGAACGAGTAAGTTCTCTAACATTACTGTAGCGGGTTAGACCGCCGAACTAATGAAGTCAGGGTTTGTCGAAAGTTCTCTGAACTGGATTGTGTGTTCATCAACTCAGGCGTACAGAGCCAGATCAGGCTTTCCCGACCCAGTAGTGTGGACCTGGACGCATTTCGCAACGAGGTCAACACCAACTTCCTAAGTGTTGTCGACATTTCCATCAAGTTCCTCCCAAAACTCCAAGAGAAGAAATTTCCCACCGGATTGATATTTACCGGAACTCACCTCGCCATCATTCCCGCTGCCACCCTACCGGCATACTCGGCGTCTAAAGCTGCGCTTCACTCTTACGTTTACAGCCTTCGAGAGCAATCGAGGGGTTCCAGCACTAAGATTATTGAGATTTGGCCACCCGTTGTTCAGAGTGAGTACAAGCCAAGGGTTCCTTACCTCCACGCGCGACTAACTTTGGCAGCTGAGTTACACGACTACATGGGCCAAGAGCGAGGCCGATCTATGGGAATGCCTGTCCAAGAGTTCACCGAAAAAACATACTCCCAACTTGTCACTGGCTGCGATGACGTGGTGGTCGGTTCAGTTGGTCCAGAAGAGCCTTATTTGGAGCTTTTCAGGTCCCGGAAGCAGCAGGCCGACAACCTGACAAAACTAGTCCTGTCTCATTTTGAGCTGTAGTCCTGTTGGGAGTGGGAGATCATCTTCATGGATGGGTCATGAAAGAGCTGAATGCAGATGACAGCCACAAAGAAGGATTGACACCCCAGCATTCCGTTGGGCGGTGCATGACGTCGCACACCCTTTTGCGGGGTGCAGCGATGCAACCGAGTTGAATTCCTTGTCAATCCCCTTGCGAGCCAATGAAAAGCTTCTGGAAAAGGTTTGGGGAGTACGGAGAACAGTCTGGGGTATGTTCGTACCCACGTCAATACCCCGACGGGATGGTTTCAACAGACTTGAGCCTCGGCCTTTCAAGGTGGGCAGGCTATGGGTGATTCATGTGATGAAATCGAGCCCAACAGCGGGGAATGGCGCCCACCAAGTCGTCAAAGTCAGAGATGCAGATCAAAATCACACGTAGTAGTCAGAAGGCCAAACTTGAAGTACACCAAATCAATTAACTGTTCAATGCTTGCTTGTACCAGCGTAAACTAAAATATGTAGCCAAAAAGAAAAGTTTTAGTCGTGATCATACGTCATGAGTTCCGAGCTTGTGCCACTACTTGTCGCCAAAGTGAGTCGCCGGCCATCGCCTCCTCCACGCTGGTCCGAAAAAGTAAACCACCGGAATGAATACAGCGAACGCGGCGATCAGCCCGGTATAGATCATCATCGAATGGAAGTATCCCATTTCGACAACCCAATCAGAAATCTTGAATGACAGTGCAAAGGCTAACAAAGCCCTGAAAGAGGCGATGTTGACTAGCGCAGGGCCAGCGAGATGGGGGTAACATTCCAACACGTAAACTGCGCCGATGGAGTTGGCGCCCAAGAAGCCAAAAGCCATCAGACCCAAGCCTGTCAGGAATGTGACCCAGGAGTAGTTCGCCTGGTTTGAGCCGGCCAGACCGAAAATGACGGCTCCGATAATGCCAGCGAGGGTCGGGATGATGAGATTGATGAGCTGGTTCTCGGGCTCTCTTACACCGCGCCTCATTGCGAGGCGGTTAGCCATCCAGTCAGCAGCTTTACCAGTCACCAATGCCACTGCGACGGCTGCGACAAGGATAGGGAGGAGGCAAAGTCCAAGGTTCATGAAATCCCATCTAGAAGATTCGTTAGTTGTGACAACAATGAAATGACATGTTCAATGACTTACGACCATGGTGCTGTCAGAAGAGCGGGAGCAACGGTGTATCCAGCCGCGAAGGCGCATGCAATCATGACACTGTTGAGCATAGTGATGAAGAAAATCTGAGGGTAAAAGAACGTGCGAAGGGTGTCAACGAAGGCGTTAAAGCCCTTGCGCCACTCCATCTTGCCGTGGAACATGGCGATGTTGTACCGAAACGTTCTAGGCTCACGCAAGTGCCCGGTCTCATCCCGGGGGACGCCATCTGAAATAGAGTCAGCTTTGACGTTGCTAATTTAGTTCGTGATGAATTTCCGACTTACTCATTTCGGCACGTGTGCGGTCCCACCTCGTCTCGGGCATGAAGAAATAGACACCAACGAGGAAGACGGCAGCGCCCATCGCGGTGATGAAATACATCCATCTCCAACTGAGGTTGATAATCATGTACGGAGCTGCGATTCCGAGGACGATGATGATCAGACCCTGGGCCGCGAAAATACCGGAGATCCAAGCGTTACGTTGATGGACGAAGACCATATCCTGGATGATGAAAGGGATCAAACTTTCGACAGTACCAGCGCCCAGGGCTTGCAAGCAACGAGCCAGTAAGTGCGATGGCAGAGATCGACTGGCTCCAGCCCACAAGGCACCGATGATGGCGAGAACACCGGTAATGAGTACCACCGGACGACGGCCGACTGAAATGGCCAGCGGTACCAGGAAAAGGTTGGAGAGTCCGATAACCAACACGGGAAGGGATGCCAAGAGATAGACGTGGAAAATTGGAGGTGCCCCAGGGAAGCTGGAGAGAATCTTCAAAGGATCAGTCCCAGCGGGGAGGCCTCCGTTAGACGTCAAGTCTTTGAGAATCTTCGGATCGAGACCAGCGTACTCCACAGCAAACACTGGGAGCATAGCACCCAGGATCAGCTCAGCAGCCGCAGCCAATGCACCGAAACAGCAGAGGCAGAAGGTTCCTAGGAGCTTGCGAGAGATAGGGAGATTGAGGGGATCTCGCGGATCCTTCGTTGGTGCGGGTTGTAGAATAAGTTGGCCATTTCTGTAAAGAGCCGCGTCTCTGGCTTGTGCCTGCTCGTCAAAGTCAAAGGTGGATCGTGAAGTCTCGACCTGCTTCAGTTTCTGAATCTCAGTCGATGAGCTGTTGTGTTTCCGAAACCTGTCAGTCTGAAAGTGATGCTGGTCATTTTTGTCACTCTTGTCAGCATCACGGGCCCAGGATGGTTCGAAGAGGCTGGAGCCGTTAGATAGTCGTGGATCGTGAGTCGCGGGGGGTGGTGCCATTCTTTGATTTCTTTGTGAATCCATTGTTGTTGTGTAGTGTAATACGACGGCTATGGAATGCAGGGTCGGAAGAGGGGAGGCCAGATGAATTTATCGGGGGAAATTGACTTCAAAAAAGTTTAATGGCTTCGAGGGCCTTGGTGCTACTACGCCCAATCTAGAGTTAACACAGACCATGGCGCTATGATAACCGAAACATGTGTCCTGACTGGACGGCGAGTCTATGCACCACGAAGAAAAAGGTTAAGCGGATACTTTCTGGATCGTTACTAATTGCCGTGGCGACTGTGCCTGAGATTAGGTATAGTGCTACTGTCGCCACACGGCTTGGTGGCTCTACCCAGAGTGGCTTTGCAGAACAATCAGATGAAAGGAAGACAAAGAGATGCATCCACACAGACGCTGAATTCAACATCGCGCCCTTACCCCGCAAGGCCTGGCCCACCGCTCAGCTTCCGAGAGTCTAAATTTGATCTCCCCCTCGATTTGAGTTATTCCAGTCATAGGATGTTTCGTATATGTCATTAGATCCGTGTTGGTGCATACTTATCTCCTTCGATATACCGTCCTCCAGCATCCTCGGCAACAAGACTGGACGAACACATGCTCCGAAAAGCTGTTCTTGATTTGCCCATTTGGGTAATATCGTTTCATGGATGTCATACGGTCGTCATGCAAACAGCCCAGCTGCCGTTTTAAATCCCCAGAAGGGTCCCCAATCAAGGGTTGCTTGTCTGTTTGGCTTTTGTCGGGCAGTAAGCGATGTGGGGGGCTGGTTTGACCTGTGGGGGGTGGTCTGGGGATGATCTGGGGAATCTGGGGAGAAGGCGAGGTCATTTTTGACGTCAAGGGCGAGAGAGCATGAAGGAGGTATACTCGGTATCTACTATTCCCTTGCTAAGTGAGCTGGATGGAGGGTTGGCCCGCAAAACAATTGTGACTCCGACCTAGACAAATTTCAGCTCCCACAAATCGCCAAGTCTCGAGTTATCCTCCGCCAGCCCACCATGAACGATGACGGAGTTCTGTGCAACGTCGGCATCGAACCATCCTCTGGGATCAGGATGATCACCTTGCGTTTCGACCTTTGCCCACGTCTGTTCCTCTACATCAAATGCCCAAACATCAGCCAACATCTTCCCGGCTCCGGCGTGGCCAAGGGAGCTTGGGTCCCGCTCTCCGAACATAGTGACAATGTGGGTCTTCTCTTGGGCCCTTACGGTGACCAAGGCCGAGACACTACGGGATTCAGGACCACTGATACCGTCCGGAGCGAAAGCAACCGTAGTCCAAGACTGAGAAGCACAGTCAAAGATGTCTACGGACCCGCCCTGCTCGGTCTTTCCATCAAACCCGTTCATCCGATAGAGCTTGCCGTCGTGGTACGTGATTGAGGGTCCTCCACGCGCTGGCGGCGGTGCGTCAGGAAGCTGGGTCCAGCTCTTAGACGTCAGAGTGAAACGCCAGAGATCAGCCATACGTCCCTTTTCCGGGCAGCCAGCATGGACATAAACATTATCAACACCATCAGACGCAATGGAGTGGTAGCTGCGTCCAGCAGGAAAGGTGGCAGACTTGTCTCCGGCGGGCTCGATCAAGTCCCATGTGTTTGTGGATGGGATGTAACGCCAAACGCATCCATTCTCCTCGATGGGTTCCATCGCGAGACCACCACGGCCGGAGAAGATGTATAGGGCATCGTGCAGGACAACGCTTGGGGACCCAACGCGCGGAGAAGGGGCTGTAGAAGGAACCGGAATCGTACGAATATCTGCTAACCCTAAATATCACACAGGACTTCTAGTCAGATATGATACCAACAGCATAAGTGAGAAGACAGAGGTCTGGGTTGCTACCTTGAGGATCTTTCAGCTCGACGACGTCAACCTGGTTGTCGACTGGCTCTCTGGGAACAAGCTCGCCCCCAAAGACGTAAGCGCGGCCGCCGAGAGCCGACACCGCCTGAGAAGACCGGCGAAGGCGATCACCAGAGGCAATACGAGTCCAGAGAGCAGATATCTTTGCCATCGTGTTGTTGTCTTTTCGAATTGCTCTGAGGTTCGGGTTGAAAGGTTCTTTCACAAAATGGCCTTGCTAAAAGTACCAAAGAACGCAAGTTTATATCAAGTCGAGCTTTCAATCTTCCTGGACGCGGTTACTGAGGGACATGGAATGGAACGGGGCGATCGGGATGGGCAGTTTTAGCCGGACCCTGACCCCTACACGGAGGGACGGAGGCTCCGCACCATATTGACACAACTAGAAGAATTGACGCATACTCTCGGCAACCACAAAAGCCGGGTCGAACCATCAAGTGGAGGATTGTTACACAGGTCTTGGTGCTGCTAATTCGGAGTCTGCCGTCTATTGATGGGTTGCAATGCAAATTGTTGAGAGTGAGCCTAAGTAGGGTGGGTAATTAGGATGCAACACACGAACATGAGAACGGCAGGTAACCGCCTATATCCGTCGTAAGTGGCGTGTCAAATATCGGTTAATTTGACAGCATGTATAAAAGTAGAGAATGGTGAGGTTATGTTTGTCCTGGTGTGTGCTCAGGGACCGCACTTGATGAGCCATCCTCACCTCCTTTCTGAGCCTCAAAGCAGAACCCATCGGTCATAGGCACATATTGTAACGACAGTCGTGCCGAGTTTTGAGCCATATTTTAACGGTGGTGTTCTATTATCTGATTGTATTCATGGCTTTCGACGCCTTAGATGCCCTCAACATCTTCAATATCTGTAACGATACAATGGGGGCTGCGAATCGTTTCGGGGCCTCAATCAAACGGCACCTGAGAGAGAAAGATAAGCAAAACAATCTCGTCATCACTGTTCTTTGCAGCATTTGGGGCGCTATAGTCGGCTTCTTCATCATCTTTGTCTGCGTTGGTGCCATCAAGGCGTATCGTCATCCCGAGAGATACGGCCCGCGAGACGGCTCCGAGGGCCAGACAGCTCAAACTAGGATGCACGGAATTACTCGGGCGATGTTAGACACGATTCCGGTGATTAGGTTGGGAGCCGTGGAACACTCGACTTCTGATATTGAGCTACAGAAAGCTGCGTCCAAAACTCCGACCAGGACAGATGGCGAGACGAAGAGCTGCAGTATCTGTACGGAAGACTTTTCCGCCCACGACGACGTGCGCGTGCTTCCTTGCGGGCACGAGTTTCATCTAGCATGCGTTGATCCATGGCTAATCACCAAATCTTCCACATGCCCACTCTGGTAAGTTGAAAACTCGTGTACAGATCGTCGTTCTTTAAATCTGTCGACACTTCCAGTCTTTCATGATGCCGGCGTTGCTAATTCGAATGGAAAAGTCGACATGACCTTGACCCGAGCAAGACACAAACACCCCGACAACATGGAAGCTCAGCTCCACTAAGTGAATCACAAGAGAGAGAAAGCATGCGTCAGACAATCCTTTGGATGAGGTTGGCCAATGCCTAGATGATGGTAGTACACCGGTCGGAGCTTCATATGGCCTGTAATCCTGTATCCAGTCTGATAGCAAAACGAGAACCGTAGCTGATTGCCAGACACTTAGCCTGAAGAATGTTAGTTCAGGAGGTTTCTTTCGTTCAAACGATTTACTGAGAAAAGATGAATTTACTTCAGTATAACCTCCTAATTCTTTAAAATTAGTCAGACTGCCAACATCCCAGGACTCGCTGGCCGATCGGGGTCAGATTCGTGATGGGCAGCACATTAGTCCTTCCCGTAAGCCGGACATCATGGACCGCACACTCGACAATTCTTCGGATCACCCTTGAATCCATGAGTTGTCCTGGGCGGGCTCGTGTCCCCCCGTGCTCCTCTGCTGTGTCATATCCCTCTCGCTTCTTAGTCTCTTTCCGGCTTCGACATCAGCTGCACCACCGGGATGATCAACTGCAAATTCTGTATCTGCCTTCTGGGTTTCCTTTTGGTGCTTTCGTTTCTTGATCTGACGCACAATGCCCCATACAACCCCTATCACGGCGTATACGGGACAGCAGACTACGCCTGCGTAGCCCGGAGCTCCCATGAATGGTTCCATTCCATATTTACCGGTGTCTGGCTTTGAGGCCTCTTCTCTCTTATTGATGTTGGGCAAGGATGGCATGGTCGTCGTTGAGAAAGATCACAGCGGTAGATCGCTAGTCCGAAAGTGAAGTCTACGACTGAAGCAACAGCTCAACCTGAAGTTAGCTTGAAACTCAAAGATCAATCGTGTTTTGAGAGACTTGCTCTACGTAGTCAAGATGTCGTCGCGTGGTGTAATGCATTGAACACTACGAGAAGTACTGCGAGGGCGGGGCAGAGGCTCAATAAAATCAGTTGTACTTCGAATTATGCCACGATACACCTCCAGCTGACAGATGGTATCATTGTGGCGTTTGAAAGTGTTTGGTCTCGACAAGACCGGTATGCAACCACCGATTTGGGGCCCCGTCACTGCTTTAAGCACATGGCCAAGATTATAACTTGGATGATTATTGGTAACTATTTGATTACTGAATTGTTCTTTTTCGATCACCTGAACAGCTGAACCGAATGGCTTTAGTGATGACTCCGTGATGGCTTCACGTTGGGTATTCTAATTGACACAAACAAAGGAAATGCCCCAAAACTAGGCTCCAAGAATTTGAAGCAATGCTATCAAATCTGTAAGGGCGCTGGTCTGGGCCGCTAAATCTAGGCATGAAGCTTACGAGCAGCGGTCAATCGCGTATGTCTGTTGATCAGTACCTATTCAATATCGACACGGAGTAGACTGCTCGGCCGACTAAACTCTTCAAGGCCTTCGGTTTCCGATACCCATAATTGTGGACGTCGCGTTAGGAAACGGAGGCCAGCAGGCTCCGATGGGCCCAACAACCATCGTCTCATTGGGTGAAAATATTATATAAGCGGAGGTTCCGTCCGCCGATTACAAAGAACATCTGGCTCTCGGTTCTCCATAAACCCCCGTTTTTTGAGACCCTGGTCGCACTAGCGGATCAGCCTGC